TCAAAAACAAAAGATAACAAAGTAAAAATTGTGCATATTCCTCTGCCCCTCTTTCCTCTCCACTCATTCCCACAATCACTGTCATTGGCTTCTAAATCCTTACAAAATTTTGGTGCAGATACAGCTAAGAATACATATTACGGGTCTGGGATTCTGGCTCAGCAGTAGAGCACTCACCTCGATCCTCAGCACCACATAAAAATAAATAAATAAAATAAGGGTATTGTTTCCAACTACAACTAAATATATATATATATATACACACACACATATATAAAATATATATATATAAAATATATAAAAAAGAATACATATTATTTTCCCTTTTTCATATGCACAGTACTGCACCTCATTCTTTTAATGTAACATATTCCAAAACCCTTTCCATATCATTACACAGTGATTCAAATGAAAGGAAATCCTACATTATTTAGCCAGAAGAGTTCATAGATGGGTACAAGTTAACCTCAAACAATTTAATTTAGTTTTGTCTCTGCCTGCCTGCCTACTTTCCTGCCTGCCCCTTTTCCTTCCCCTCCTCTCCTGCTCTTTTTATTTACTTTTTAGAGGAAAGAGAGCCTTAAAAAAATTTAAATAGTTGTACCTCAAAAATAAAGAGAATAGGGCTGGGGCTGTAGCTCAGTGGCAGAGTGCTTGCCTAGCATGTGTGAGGCACTGAGTTCAATCCTTAGCATCACATACAAATAAAATAAAGGCATCTATCCATCTATAACTACAAAAAAAAATTTTTTTAAATAAAAATCAATAAATAAAGAGAATGAGATTCCTTAAACTGACTTTCTTTTTTTTTAATATTTAATTTTTTTTTAGTTGTCGGCGGACACAACATCTCTGTTTGTATGTGGTGCTGAGGATCGAACCCGGGCCGCACGCGCATGCCAGGAGAGCGTGCTACCGCTTGAGCCACATCCCCAGCCCTTAAACTGACTTTCTAACCTTTCTAAAATTTCATTTTGAAATGGCAGCTTACATTATTAAAACTTCTCCCCAGTTTTAAAGTCAAAACTAAAAAAAGTTGTCTTACAGTAAATTAAAATACAACATAATAACTTCCAAATAATTTTAGCCAGGTCCAAGTTATAGATTTATGTAGTCAATTTCCAGAGGAAAAAAATTAAAATTTTTTCTGCATTATAGAAGTAGAATTGTGGATAAGGTTTTTCATTTTTATTTAAAATTGCTATAATGGTATCTGAAATCAACAGAGAAACAACATTTTTAAATAAGTTCATTAATAATAGATTAATCTAGGGCTGGGGATGTGGCTCAAGCGGTAGCGCACTTGCCTGGCATGCGTGCGGCCTGAGTTCGATCCTCAGCACCACAGACAAACAGAGATGTTGTGTCCGCCAAATACTAAAAAATAGATATTAAAATTCTCTCTCTCTCTCCCTCTCTCTCACTCTCTAAAAAAAAAATAGATTAATCTAATTTGAGAAGCATTATATAGAAATTACTCTTCTCAAGTCTCTTTTCTCTCCCTATTACTGTTCCTTCTGCAGCTGCTTCTAATGCCAGATTTAGAAGAAAATCTTTTAGAACAGATTCCCAGATTTCAAAAAGAGATAAGGCTGGGTATTTACTCAGTGGTAGTGAGCTTGCCTTGCATGTTCAAGGCTCTGGGTTCAACTCCAGCACCAGAGGTGGGGGGGATGGAAATCTCAGTAAGGGATCAACGTAAACAGCCTTAACAGAAAGTCTAAGTATTATTTCCATAAATGCTGGAGATCGTACAGGCCTCAGGTTAGAACAGGTAAAACCATCAGCTAGATCTTTAGGTGCTTCTTCCTACTCTTTTTCCACTCATACAAGCTGGCACTTCCCTCTAGTTCCCCAAGGTCCTACTCTTCCTCTCCTTCTCTATTACCTGGGTTCTTCAAAAAAAAGACATGAAACATTTACACTGAAGTAAAGCTTCACTGTAACAATGTATGGTACCCCTCACAAAAATATGTACATTTTTGCAATGTTGAAAATCTTATGGGAGCTCCAAATGCCTTAAAAAAATTCTTGTTGGTGCATTATAATTATACATAATAGTGGGATTCATTGTGACATGAACATAACTTGGTCAATTAAAAGCCAGACATTTTTAAGATGTGTGTACATGTGCCCAAGCACCCTCACATGCCTTTACTGTATTAGGAGAGCCAGGTCAAATAAGACCTAACTTTTGTCTCCACATGAGTAAGTTTCTATGAGTTACTTCAATAATTATGCRCATAGTGATTAGAATCAAAGGCAGCAACAACCAACGAATGGCCTATCAAGACATCCACATTACTTAATACCAAGGTGCACTTGATGGTCACCCCAAGGAAAACTGTGAATGGTGCTTCCCAAAGTTATGCGAGGAAGCAGACCTGCTTTCCCATAAGAATGTGTTCTGAAGAGAAAATTGAAAGGATAAGTAAATAATTTTGAAAGGCTGGGTGTGCAGACATTGAAAATACTATAATGTAATGGGAAGTACTATACCTAAGTTCCTAACAATCTATTTTGGAGGGTTTATTTTTTTTAGTTGTAGATAAACACAATACCTTTTCTTTTTTCTTTTTTTTTAACGTGGCACTGAGGATCAAACCCAATGCCTCACTCATGCTAAGCAAGCACTCTACTACTAAGCTACAAACACAGGCCCCTGACAATGTTTTTTGTTTTTGTTTTTGGTACCAGGGATTGAACCCAGGGGTGCTTAACTACACCCCCAGTCCTATTTATTTTTTATTTTGAGACAGGGTCTCTTTAAGTTTCTTAGGCTGGATTTGAACTTGTAATCCTCCTTCCTCAGTCTCCAGAGTCACTGGTATTACAGATGTGTGCCACCACGCCCAGACAATGTATTTTTGCATGTTCCTGAACTATGAAACACAATTAATTCAATTACTACCCATTAAGTCCGTCATCCCTCACTTCAAGATGAAGGATCACCAAACACCAAAACTGAAGAAATTCTTAAATTAAAAAAAAAAAAAAAAAAAAACATGTATTTAAGCCTTTAACTCTGCCCTCAAATCATCAATTGAATCTTCAAAATACAGGAAGGAAAAAAGGAAAGAAGCATGTTCAATCAAAGAAGCAAAGCAATTTTCCAAGAAAATTTGATTTAGGAGAGAAAACAAAAACTTTGGAAAATATTATTCTCTCAATCCAAAGATTTAAAATTATATGTATTAAGAAAACAAATTTAGGGGTTGGGGTTGTGGCTCGGCGGTAGAACGCTCACCTAGCACATGCGAGGCCCTGGGTTCGATCCTCAGCACCACATAAAAATAAATAAAAAAACAAAGGTATTATGTCCAACTTCAACTAAAAAAATAAATATTAAAAAAACAAACTTGAACAATTATATTACTATGGAGCTTGGATGCAAAAATAATATGGAACTTTTTTATTTAAAAACAGAGTCCTCATCTTTTAGAGATAAACACTGAAATATTTCTAGATTAAATGTCTGGAATTTGGGCTGGGGATGTGGCTCAAGCGGTAGGGCGCTCGTCTGGCATGCGTGCGGCCCAGGTTCGATCCTCAGCACCACATAAAAATAAATAAAAAAACAAAGGTATTATGTCCAACTTCAACTAAAAAAATAAATATTAAAAAAACAAACTTGAACAATTATATTACTATGGAGCTTGGATGCAAAAATAATATGGAACTTTTTTATTTAAAAGCAGAGTCCTCATCTTTTAGAGATAAACACTGAAATATTTCTAGATTAAATGTCTGGAATTTGCCTTAAAATAATCCATGCCATAGAAGCAAGTGGGTAGAGGTATAGAGTAATCAAGAGTTGATAAACGTATGTTGTATAAGCACATGCGGATTTGTTATACTCAAACTTCTGTACTACCTTGAAGTTTTCCCCATGTGAAACATGCAAACAAGATGCCTCCAGAAGTATTTGGTACACGATGAGTAATAACCATTTGTTGTAAAGATTGCTTGCAAGTATATAGTGAAAAAGCATACCAAGTGATAGCAATCAATTGAATTAAGGAAATAGAACCATTTTTCCTCTTATTTCCAAAATTGTCTTAGTACAATCTTTTAAATTGGGTTAAAAATGTATCTTTAAAAGACCAAGATAATAAAAGTTCATTTAGCTTCTCATTAGTTCCAAACTATCAAATTTTTAATCTTTGAATTTCTATTTAAGATCTAATAAGTAGTGGTCAACAAGACCAAAACAATGCAAGAACACTGAAATTTAACTCACTAGTTTACTTTGTGAAATGGAGTAGTAATTTAATAGCAGCTACCTTATCAAGGGCTGAATTTGTATTTTTTAATATAGTATTCATGGATCATTTAGATATACAAAACAGTTAATACTATCATCTATATATCAAACAATATCAAGATTGAGTTCTCTTCACAGGAAATTTAGTCTAAAATTTTATTTTATCTTCATTCTGAAAACTGCCATTATTTGGCTTTTTCTTTCTCTACTATTTTTCATTTGGCTCCTCTTTCCTGATTCAAAACATCTGTCATTAAAGAAGTAAAAACAGAAGACAGAAATACACTGACCCAAGGTAAGAAGAATACATACAGGCAATGACAAAGCTTTTCCAGAGGCAGTCTGAAGAACACAACCTTAAAACTCCAAAATTTTTAATCAATAATTGCTCATTGATAAGTTATTTATTCATGCTTAAACAAAGTCAGCTGCCTTGTTATTAGCACTTAATTTCATATTAGCACTTAATTTCTGTAAATGGATGTTAAACACAAACATTTATTTAACCAATGATATACAAAAGTGTGGTTTAAATATTTGGCATAAAGTACTCAAAAATACAATTCAGTAATTAAATCTTTTAGATACTAAGGAAGACTCGTGTTGCCTATATAAATTTATTAAGAAATCTTAGAACTGAGATTTGAATGGACAAATCTGTAGTTTGGTTACATATATTCATTTTCTACCTTTTTATAGATTCAAAAGAGCAATACAAGAAGTGGAATCTCTAAGAATGGCTTCCAGTCACTGGAACGAAACCACCACCTCTGTTTATCAGTATCTTGGTTTTCAAGTTCAAAAAATTTACCCTTTCCATGATAACTGGAACACTGCCTGCTTTGTCATTCTGCTTTTATTTATATTTACTGTAGTATCTTTAGTGGTGCTGGCTTTCCTTTACGAAATGCTTGACTGCTGCTGCTGTGTAAAAAACAAAACTGTGAAAGACTTGAAAAGTGAACCTAACCCTCTTAGAAGCATGATGGACAACATCAGAAAACGAGATACTGAAGTGGTCTAGCTCCTACAGAAGGTGAACAAAACCTTTAAAAGCAGCTTTAGCCTCTCCGGAGATTAAAGAAAATTTCCCTGAGGCCAACTTTTACTATAAAACTGACTCTGACTTTGGGTAAAAGATTCCTAGAAGTGAAAAACAAGTGAAATATGTACTTTTTGTCTATGTATTACTCTCATTAAATATAAAGTAAAACTTCATAAATGTGAATTTACCCATTTATTTAATGTGACACATCGAGAAATGAATAAACTATTTCTAGAACAAAAAAATTTCTGGAGTTCAATACTAAGCAACAAAAGTTAAACTGGAAAACAAAGCAAGGCTAATGATGCTAAAATAATCTATACCTAAACCATTCATGTAAACTAAAAAATAGTATTTGAGTAACAAATATGCTATTTCAGATGTGTTTCTACATCCAAAATAAAATTATTCCACTTATATATAAAGWCTTGGTTATTAAAAAGCAATATTTTCTCATTTATTGAAGACAACATATTTTCTAATAACTTGAGTTCTTTGTAGTAAAAAGTCTCAAAATAATCAGAAGGGCCTCAAGTATACCTGCATAAAAGTCTCAAAAAACTGACTTCTTGTTCAATAAGAAATAAATGTTCTAGAAAAGCCCAGCCGATTTTCAAACTAAAACTTAATATTATACCCATTAAATTACACTGAAGTTTGTTCTTTCTTTTTACCTCTCATATTCACACTCTCGAGGACTAATATACTTAATGCAAAAAAGACTACAAAAAAGTGAAAATAAGACTATTATTAGAGTCAAAGATTAATATTAAAGCCACCCAACACCTATTAAGAAACACAGCAATTTCATTTCTTGAAATTTCAAGGGCTATATAGATAATATATTTTATGATCTTAATACTGTTTTGCTAACAACACATGCTCTTAACCTTAGCTGCCCTTAGGCCAGAAATGACACTCCTGGATATTTGTCCCGAGAAATTAGTTTGAAAGATAAAGGATCACCAAGCACAGTGGCACATGCTTGTAATTACAGCCTCTGAAAAGGCTGAGGAAAGAGAAATGCATGCTCAAGATCAGTCTCAGCAAGTTAACAAGACCCTCTTAATAAGATCCTGTCTCAAAATTTAAAAGTAAAATAAAAAGGGCAAGGGATGTAGCTCAACGGTAAAACGCCCCTGAGAAAAGGGTTTGTACTAGCACTATTCAGAATAACAAAAATTTGGAAGCAAATAAGCCTTTAACTAAATATAGCACATCAACTTAATAGATTATTAAAAAGTCTCTGAATACTCTGATAACAGAAAAAATATTTGGTATATAAAGTGAAAACTAAATTCAGAATATAAAACTTTCAATACAATTATGGGTGCTATTTTAAGTTTATATTCATATAAGGTTGAAAAGAAATATGGAAAAATGAGAATAGAYAATATTTTAAAAGTAATGTGAGGGTTGTGACTCAGTGGTGGTAAAGCATTTGCCTAGCACATGAGAGGGTTCAATTATCAGAAACACATAAAATAAAGGTATTATGTCCATCTACAACTAAAAATAAAAAAATAATGTGAGCGCCAGGCTTAGCGGCACACACCTATAATCCCAGCAGTTCAGGAGGCTGAGACAGGAAGAGCACAAGCTCAAAGCCAGCCTCAGCAATTTATCAAGGCCCTAAATTAGTAAGACCATGTCTCAAAAAAAAAAGGGCTGGGGATGTGGCTCAGTGAGTAAGCACCATGCGTTCAATACCTTGTATCAAAGAGAGAGAGAAAGAGAGAGAGAGAGAGAACATCACCATTGACCCTAGAGAAATCAAAAGGATTTTGAGAGAGCACTTTGAAAAACTCCAGACAATGTAGATAATAAAATGGATAGACTCCTAAAAAGATCCAAAGTACCAAAATTAATTCAAGAAGTAACAGAACATCTGAATAGACTAATATATAAGAAGAAGCCATCCTACAGAGCTAAACACAAAGGAAAGCTCAGGCCCAAATGGTCACACTAGAGAATTCACCCAGATCTTTAAAGAAATAATAATAAACCTTCACAAACTCTTCCAAAAATTAATAGAAGAGGAACACTGCACAAAACATTATTGAAGACCAGAATTACCCTGATGGGCAGCACGAGAAAATAAAAGTACTGACCATATCCCTCATGAATAGAAATGCCAAAATCCTGGACAAAATACCAGCAAATTGAACACTGCAACAATAAAAACGATTATATAACATGACCAAGTTGGATTTATTCCAGGAATGCAAGGCTGATTTGACAAATGAAAACCAACTGATATATTAATAGAATAAAAGAACACAATCATCTCATTTGATATAGAAAAAGCATGTGACAACATCCAAAACCCATTTACAAACAGACACTCTCAACAAACTAGAAATAGCAGGGAACTTCTTCAACCAAATAAAGGCTATCTACAAAAACCTGCAATAATACCATATATAATAGCAAAGACTAAATACTTTGCCCCTGAGATTAGAAAGATGGCAAAGACAATCAATTGTCACTACCTGTAGTCAACACCATATCAGACAGGCAAGGAAAAGAAATAAAAGACAGCATATTGGAAGGGAAAAAACAAAACTGGTTTTATTCCTAGATGCATAATATTGATKTAGAATATCCTCAGGAATTCACATAAAAACCTACTAGAAACAAAAAATAAGTTCAACAATGTTACACCATACAAAATCAATGTATAAAATGTACTGCATTTCTACATACTGGATATGAACAATCAAAAATATCAAATTAAGAAAATAATTCCAGGGCTGGGGTTGTAGCTCAGTGGTAGAGTGCTTGCTGCACATGTGGAAGGCCCTGGATTCGATCCTCAGYACCATATAAAAATAAAACAGAGGTATTATGTCCATCTACAATTAAAAAAAATATTTAAAAAAAAAGAAAGAAAACAATTCTACTCATAATACATCAAAAAGAATAAAATATTTACAAAAAAAAAGAGTAAAATACTTGGGAATAAATTTAACAAAATAAGTGTGAAATTGACTTATACATTAAAAACTCAAAACATTATTGAAATAAATTTAAAATGTAAATAAATAGAAAGATATGGAAGTTAACTAACTGGAAGACCTAACGTTTTTAAGGTAGAAATTATCCTTCAAACTGATTTATATATTGAATCTAATAGAGATTTATTAGCAACCTAGCAAGACCCAAAGTCCCAGCTGTTTTTTTTACAGATGTTGATTAACAAACCGATCTTAAAATTATGCAAAAGATCCAGAAAAAAAAAATAATAATAATCTTTAAAAAAAAGAACAAAGCTGAAGGACTAGGGGCTGGGGATGTGGCTCAAGCGGTAGCACGCTCGCCTGGCATGCATGCGGCCAGGGTTCGACCCTCAGCACCACATACAAAGATGTTGTGTCCACCAAAAACTAAAAAATAAAAAATACTAAAAATTCTCCCCCCGCCCTTTAAAAAAAAAAAGCTGAACGACTAATACTTTCTCTGTTTTATTTTTCGCTAGTACTAGGGATTCAATCCAGGGCCTTGTGCTTAGTAGGCAAGTATTCTACCACTGAGCTACATAATAGTCCATGGATTTACACTTTTTTTTTTTTTTTTGGTAGTGTAGGGCCTTATGCATGCAAGGCAAGCACTCTACCAACTGAGATATATCCCCAGTCTAGATTTACACTTTTTTGTGGGGCGGGGGGGCAAGTATTGAACTCAAGGGCACTTAACCACTGAGCCACATCCCCAGCCCTATTTCTGTATTTTTATTTCACTAGTTGCTTAGCATCTTGCTTTTGCTGAGGCTGGCTTAGAACTTGCGATTCTCCTGTCTCATCCTCCCAAACTGCTGGGATTACAGGCATGCACCACAGTGCTGGCCAGATTTATACTTCTTAATCTTAAAACTTAAACCACAACACTACCAAGAAAGTGTGGTCCTGGCATAAAAATAGACAAATAAGTCAATGAAATCAAACTGAGACTCCAGAAATAAAATGCCTCGTCAATAGTCAACTGACACACAACATGAGGGCCAATGCAATTCAAATGAGGTTAAAAATATTCTGTTCAGGGCCAGGAATTGTGGCTCAGTGGTAGAGTATTTGCTGAGCATGAGTGAGGCACTGGGTCCAATCCAGCACCACATAAAAACAAAAAAAAAAAAAAAAAATGTTCAAGAAATGGCACTGGGACAGTGAAATATAATTTTAGTTCTTATACATAGGTCTATAAGTTTGAGTTAATTTTTGTGTATGGTTTAATATAAGAGCCTGAACTAACTTTGAATTCACCAAATCTACTTTGAAATTTAGGTGCTTATGTAAAACCATACACAAAAGTAACTCAAACATACCACAAACCTAAGTCAAAAAGCTAAAACTATAAAACTCTTAGAAGGAAATATAGAATCAGGGAGAGCTTTCTTAGAAATGACACTAAAAACATAAATGAGAAAAAAATTGCTAAGTTGGCTTTCATCAAAATTAAAAACTTTTAGGCAGGCCTGGTGGCACATACCTATAATTCCAGCTACTCGAGAGCCTGAGGCAAGATGATCATAAACTTTAAGACCTGCCTGGGCAACCTAGCAAGATCCTATCTAGAAAAAAAATTTGAAAAGGGTTGGGGATGGGATGGGGTTGTGGCTAGGCACAGTTGCCTACCATGTGTGAGGCAGTAGGTTCGATTCTTAGTGCCACATATAAATAAATAAAATAAAAGTCCACCAACAACTTTAAAAAAAAATTAAGGCTAGGGATGAGCTCTTCAGAAGAGCATTCATGGGTTCAATTCCTGGTAACACAAAAAAAAATTTCTGCTAATTAACTGGGCATGGTGGTGCACACCTGTAATCCCAGCAACTGGGGAAGCTAAGGCAGAGTATCACAAGTTCAAAGCCAGCTTCAGCAAAAGGCGAGGCGCAAAACAACTCAGTGAGACTCTATCTCTTAATAAAATACAAAATAGGGGGCTGGGGTTGTGGCTCAGTGGTAAAGTGTTCACCTAGCATGCATGAGGCACTGGGTTTGATCCTCAGCACCACATAAATGTAAAATAAAGATATTGTGTCCACCTAAAACTAAAAAATAAATATTAAAAAAAAAATACAAAATAGGGCTGAGGATGTGGCTTAGCGGTCAAGTGCCCCTGAGTTGAATCCCTGGTAATGAAAAAAAAAAAAACAAAAAAAAAGAATGGTTTCAAACCAACAGAAAGACAAATAGCCCACTTTTTAAAATGGGCAAAAAAAAAAAAAAAAAACAACAAATAGTTCACCAAGGAAAGTACACAATTGGTCATGTTCATACTACTAGTCATTAGGGAAATACATATTATTTTTTTTTTTTAAAGAGAGAGTGAGTGAGGAGAGAGAATTTTTAATATTTATTTCTTAGTTCTCGGAGGACACAACATCTTTGTTGGTATGTGGTGCTGAGGATCGAACCCGGGCYGCACGCATGCCAGACGAGCGCGCTACCGCCTGAGCCACATTCCCAGCCCGGAAATACATATTAATATGATAATGATACCTTTCACACCCACTAGGAATAGCTATGATCAAAAAGAAAAGGAATCACAAATGTTGATACAGATGAGAAAAAACTAGAATCCTCCTACTTTTGGTGAGATTATATAATGGTACAACCTTTTCCATCATTTTATAAAAAGTTAAATATAGTCAGGCACCTTGGCGCAGGCCTGTAATCCCAGCTACTCAGCAAGCTAAGGCAAGGAGGATCATAAGTTCAAGGTCAGTCTGAAAATTTTACAGAGACCCTGTGTTAAAATAAAAATAAAGTGGATGTAGCTCAATGGTCAGCCCCAGATTCAATCCCAGGGGGGAGGGGATCAAACATAAATTTACCACATGATCCAGAAATTCCACTCCTATTTCTCTATTCAAAAGAAATGAAAACATGTCTATATAAAGACTTATACATAATGTYCGTAGCAGTGCTATTCAAGAGAGTCAAAAACTTCTTCAGCCATAAAGTGGAATAAAATACTGATATAATCCTACAACACAGATGAAACACAAAAACATACTAAATAAAAGAAGCCACAAATAAAAGCCCACATTACACAATTCCATTTATAGAAGTGTCCAGAAAAGGCATATGGAGACAGACAGAAAGTAGGTTATTGGTTATCTGGGACTAGGGTAGGAATAGTGTTGCAAATGGGCACACTGGACCTTTTGGCAATGATAGAAATGTTYTAAAATTGGAAAGGAATATATTTGAATTGTACACTTAAAATGAATGAACTATATGGAATGCAAACTAAACTTTAATGAAGTTGTTCTTTTAAAGTGATAATCTAAATATWAAACACACAACACAATTAACATATTAAGGGCTTAAATTCTCTTATCATCCCATCCCTTATATTTCACCAAATGTCTAAAAATCAATATTAATGTTGAACTTGCCATTACTAAATGGTTTTCTAAAAAATAAAAATCAAACAATCCTACATGATTTTTACTAACCAGAATTTTGTTTAGAGCCTGATGATCCTCCATGTTCTACCTTTGCTTTCTTCTTCTTCGATGATGATGATGATGACTCAGAAGACACTGAACGCTTTTCTACTACAGGAGTGGAAAGAGCTCGTTTTTTGAACAGCTCCCTTTCTCTCAATAGGCTTGGATCCATAATGCTAAAAAGATAAAAATAAATTATCTGTAGTACAGATTCAAATCACTCAAACCTGTATGCCAAATCCAAAAATGTCAACAAGATATTTCSCAAATAAAATGATCTGCTATATTAGTACTTAGTCACTTACTTATTCACCCAAAAAAAGCACTTATTATGTACTGGGCGAGTAGTAAGTGGTAGAGAAAGAAAAACCAGAATTATTCTCTAAAGCTCTCTAGAACTGTGCTGTCCAATATGGTGTTCTTATGTTTGTTTTTTTGTTTTGGGTACTGAAGATTGAACCCAGGAGTGCTTAACCACTGACTAACATCCCCAACCCTTTTTTATATTTTATTTAGAGACAGGGTTTCACTGAGTTGCTAAGTGCCTCGCTAAGTTGCTGAGGCTGGCTTTGAACTCCCGATTCTCCTGCCTCAGCCTCCCAAGCTGCTGAGATTATAAGTGCACCACAGAGTCTGGCCAATACAGTGCCCTTTAAGCATATGAAGTGTGGCTAGAATTGAGATGTACTGAAAATGGAGAATACATACCAGATTTCAAACACTTAATACCAAAAAAATGCTGTTATTACTAATGAAGATATTTTACATTAATTGCATGTTGTATTTATAATATTTTGGACATGCTGGGTTAAATATTTAAATTAATTTCACGGGGCTGGGGTTGGAGCTCAATGGTAGAGCGCTTGCCTGGCATATGTGAGGCACTGGGTTTGATCCTTAGCACCACATAAAAATAAATAAAGGTATTACATTGATCTACAACTAAAAAACTATTTTTTAAAAAAATTAATTGCATCAATTTTTACATTTTAAAAAATATAACTACTAGAAAAGTTTAAATTACAAGTGTGGGTCACACTTGTAAGCTTATATTTCTATTAGACAACATTGCTCTAAAAACAACATCAGGACCACTGGACATAAAGTAGGAGATAAATTTAGGTTTGTTGCAAAAAAAAAAAATCAGAACTGCTTATAAATGAAATGGAATACTTTTAAAACTGTTAATTCTTGATCATTAACTAAAAATAGTATCTGCTAGAAATGTCTAGAGAAATTTTCTGATTAGGAGAGGTGGAACTAAATGAGCTCTCTTCCCCTGTCCCAATGCTAAAACTCTGCTATACAACAAGCAGAGCTACAAGTCGACCAACAAGACTCTAAAAAATAATCCCGTACAGGGTCTAGGAAGAGCTCGCTCGATCTGACTAAGTGTTGAAGTGTTTAGACTGGTGTTAAGTTGGAGGGGAAAAAAAAAACTCTCATACAAGTAAGTGCTTCTTGATTTGGGGTTACCATGGTAATGGTAATAAGACCATGGTAAACTGAAAACATAAGCTAAAAGTGCAYTTTGTACACCTAACCTACCGAATACCCATCTTAGCAACACAGTCCACCACAGAGTATCAGTTGTTTGCCCCCGTAATTCACGGCTGGCTGGGAGATGCAAGTTAAATGCTACTGCCCAGCATCATGACAGAATATAGTACTACATGTTGCTGACCAAGGAAAAGATTAAAATTCAAAGTGTATTTTCTCCTGAATGTGTATCACTTTTATATTATCATAAAGTCAAAAAATCATAGGTGTTTCTCCCTGTATTTTGCAAGTCTTTAAGCACAGGATACCTCAAAAAATACTTGTTAAATGAACACTGAATAGAAAAGACATCCTTCACTTGTGCTATCCTCATAATTATTGGTTCCACAAGCCTTTAGCAAAGGCTTTACTAAGAAAACTGCTGTTTGTGTGGCACTGTGCTTTAAACTTTGAAAAGTTGTGGAAAATAAATCCTTGTCTTTAGGCAGCTTAGATGAGAACGTGAAAGCACTGAACACCTTGTTCAAAGGACAATGAATAAATAAAATGTAAGTCAGGGTGCTAAAAATTAAAAATATAAATACTGATAAAGAATAATCAGGGGCTAGGGATGTGACTCAAGCGGTAACGCGCTTGCCTGGCATGCACGGAGCGCTGGGTTCGATCCTCAGCACCATATAAAATAAATTTTTTWAAAAAAAAGATGTTGTGTCCATCGAAAACTGAAAAATAAATTTTAAAAAAATAATAATTATCACCGTGAGGGTTGGGGCTGTGGCTCAGTGGTAGAGCGTGCGTCTAGCACAATCGAGGCCCTGGATTCCATCCTCAGCACCACATAAAAATAAATAAAATAAAGGTATTGTGTCCAACTACAACAATAAATATTTAAAAATAATAATAATAATCACTGTGAATTTCAGATAAGTAAGAAGTGAAGAGTCACTGGACCATGAATGAGAGTTCTACCTTCTTTCAGCTTCAATTCCTAACAGCCATATGGCTAAACAAYCCACAAGACCTCTAATTTAATTTCATCATAAGTAAAACAAGGACACTAATGCATATATATTATACACATTTTTATATATATATCTATAGATATGTAGATATATATCTGTGAAAATATGTGTGAATTTTTTTCAATAATAAAGCCATAGAAATCTTATTCCCATATTGAATCTCTAAGAAATAAAAAAATGATTGGTACCAGAGTAAGGAAGATGGAAAAGCCTTGGAACTTGGAAAAGTGTGAGGTCAAGAATTAAAGAAAAGAAATTTGCAAGTGAGAAGATGGAAGAAAAAAGCAGATTGTAAGCACACAAGAAACATTTGTTTATTTCACCTTATGAAGACAGATCATTAATACAGGATTTAACCAACAACTTTTAAGACAGATTAAGTAAAGCTATACGGTTCATAAAAACCTAAATGTTTACAATATTGGTCTTCACAACTGTATGAGAGAATAGTTATTAGTGTTACTACYATTTCAATGTGTGAAATCTGAAAGGAAAAGGCACAGTTAAGGTCACACAGCTGGAAGGACAAGGGTATTCTTTCTGACTTTTAAAGTCAAGTACTCCTTAACACCAGACCTAGAATGAATCCTAGTAAAGGTCTCTAAAACAAAGCAACCTATGGGGTACCATGTTCAAGGGCACCTACAACAATGTGTCTTTCACTGTAGCACCTAATTTTTCTTTTTTCAAAATTTGTATTGAGTTTTAAATCTCAGTACTGGCACATGTCGCAAACAGGACACATCTCCATGTCTATTAAAAAAAAAAAAAATCAAACAAGCAAACAAATAAAAAACCACCACAACTCAAAGAAGCTGGCGGGGCTCCACAGCCCACGTTCTTCCCTCCAACAGACCTCTCAGCCTTTTTACTTTTCCTGTTTTTCTCCTCTCCCGGCCTCAGCCTCAGAGGTGCCACTGGCGCCTAAGCAACTACTATGAATAGCTGGGAGCTAAGAGGGTGCTTACCTCCTAAGTGACAGAAATGTGGAAGTGGATGAAAAAGGGACCACAACGTTCTGCTTTGGAAAACGTCTTCAGAATTTGTAGAAAACTACTATCATTAAAGTTGGGAATCATTACAAACCATTAAAAAAAAAAAAAGGCAGCTGAAAAAAACAATCCGTATGCCAGTCCCTAAATCACAGCCCTTAGTGGGGCACCATGTTACACACACGTTTCGCTCGGCTACTTCTAATGGAAACTTGGGGGTAGAGGAGGAGGCACAATCAGCTCACCGACTGTGAATTTTCCCTTTATCCAACCCCAAAAGTTTGCTCAATGAACCTCCGGCCTAAAAGACAATGCTCGCAGGGAACTGTTGGCATGTTTGAAATGTTTCGCGTAGAGAACGGCAGCCCAGGCTCCCGAAGGTTTGAGGACACGCTCATCAGCTTGGGTAGAGGAGGCGCGCCTCAAGACCGAAGAACAGCGATCCCCGGCTCGGCACCCCTCACTTGGCGGCCACAGCCCCTACCTGAGCGAGGAAGACAGCCCCACGCGACCCGCCGCTACAGCCTCCCTGCGCCTCCGCCTCCGCCAGCCGCCCAAGCCGGCACGGCCGCCCCTTCCTGCTCCTCTTCAGCGCCCCCGCCTGCCCGCACGCACGCCCGGCGCTGACCCACCAGGTCGGGGTCTCGCCTCTGGCGGCGGCGGCGGCGGCGGCGGCGACTCGGCCCTGGGCTCCGCCCGCCACTTCCTGATCGGGCGGCTAGGCGCTCAGTCCCGACAGCCACCGCGGTGCCTTCCCGCCTATCATGCGCATGCGTCGTCGCGTGCCCCACCTGGGGCCCCAAGGAAGGAGAACCGGCCCACTCGGGCGTCCTCGTTTCCTTGACAACCAGGGGGCGTTTGGAGGCGGGGCCTAGGATTGGACCTACGTAAGAGGCGGGCAGCCAGCGCTACAAAGGATGGAAGACGCCTTTCTACCCGGAAACTCAAAGCTTAGGAGCTCTTCCACTAGCGGGCTCTGGAAACCAACCCAACTGAAGATACGACCTTTCAACATTAGTTTTGTGACTTTACCTTAAAAGCCCCTCTCCAGCACCTGAATATTCAGAGAACATTTTTCTAGCTCTCTTACAAGTGAAGAAAGAGCACAGCAAGCAAAGCAAACCGTGACATGGAGACCAGCTTATGAACTCTCAGCCAGGGCTCTTTCCACACCTATAAATGGTCTTACAAAAGGATGTTGGACTCAGAAGCAACATAAAGGGGTGGAAGTAAAATAACGAAAAACAGCATTTGCCTTGCCCACATACTACAGCTGTGCTTTCCTCAGTCTTGGCAGTGCAGCCAGCGCTCAACTATTCTTACTACTAATAAATAATTCCTTAAATTTCTTAACCTGTGTCTTGCTTTTTTTTTTCATTTGAAAAAGGGAATAATAATTGTTCTCTCACAATGGGTTAGTTGCATTGGGCTGTGGTTAAGATTAAATGAGTTAAGCGGGAAAAAAAAAGATTTAATGAGTTAGGGACTGGGGATGTACCTCAGTAGTAGAGCACTTACCTAGCATGTTTGAGGCCCAGGGTTTTGATTTCCAGCACAGCAAAAATAATCAATTAAATGAGATAATACTTGGAAACAAATCCACAAAATTATTGTGTGATCTTTTAAAAAAATATATTTTTTAGTTGTAGTTGGACACAATACCTTTATTTTACTTATTTATTGTTATGTGGTGCTGAGGATCAAACCTAGGGCCTTGCACATGCTAGGTGATCGTTCTACCGCTGAGCCACAACCCCAGCCCTATTGTGTGATCTTTTAATTTGTTTCATTGCAGAGAAATTTTTAATAAACCCAGGTCATGGTCATCTGACACCCTCAGGAATCGTAACTTCGTTTGAATAATCATTGATTAGAGCCCCCAAAGTTGTACAACTTAGCAAAGTCAGGGATTAACTGGTAGAAAAGTGATGAGATGTAATGGGAAAAAGGGCCTGGGATTCAGTACAAAAAAAAATAATGACAGCTGGGCGCAGTGGTACCCACCTGTAATCTCAGTGGCTCAGGAGGCTGAAACAGGAGGATCATGAGTTCCAAGCCAGCCTCAGCAAAAGTGAGGTGCTTAAGCAACTCAGTGACACCCTGTTTCTAAATAAAATACAAAATAGGGTTGGGGATGTGGCTCAGTGATCAAGTGCCCCCGAGTTCAATCCCTGGTAACCCCACCCCCCAAAAAAGGATTGTATTGTCCTGAGAAACAGCGTCATTTTAGCAGTTTTATTTCAGCTTTCCTTTCTTCATCGATTATTTGAATCTCAATTTCTCATATCCTTGTGGAATTAGTTCTGTATTTTGCTAGCTCTCTTATTACTGTGAGATTTAAGAACAAATGAACAAAAGGTAGACCACATATGAAAAGACTCTTACTCACATAAACCAAACAACTGTGACTTCTACAGAAATCAGCTAAAAATGGTCAGAATTTCTTCAAGAATGTTGCCAAATGTCCTATTCTAGTCAGCCACGATCAACTAGAGAAAGTCAAATACATTTGCTAGACCAACCACATAGGATACTCACTTCTAATTAGCCTACCTCCAGCTTTCCTACAACCTTTAATCAGAACATACCAGAAGTGTCCTTTTTTCACCAATGTAAAGTTTCCCTTCTCCCTGATTTTTTTTTTTTTTTTTTTTTGGAGGTGGGGGATATTGGAGATTGAACCCAGAGGGTTTTTGTTTTTTCACTTTTTACATCCCTAGCCATTTTTCTTTTTTATTTTAAGACAGGGCCTCACTGAATTGCTGAGGCTGGCCTTGAACTTGTGATCCTCTTGCCTCAGCGTCCAGAGCTGCTGGGATTACAGGCCTGCACCACCACACCCAGCTCTCTCCCTGATTGCCTTTGAGTCTGCCAAACTCAATAGATGGTAGCTGCCTCACTTGCAAGCTCTTAATAGTCTTTGCTCTCATTTGGGTGACCTTCATGTATTTCTACTTGTGCTAAATGAAACGTTGACACATATTTGTTATCTGTTCACTGGAGAAGTATGAATTTATTAGAGAACCATGCTTTTACAGAACTAAATCCACCACATAGAAAACATTTAGCTCATTGGTCAGAATTCTATTGATATAATCCAACTCCCAAATCTCAATTGTCTCTCCTTTACCCAGACATAAGCTATTATCATTGAAACCCTCCCATACACATTCCAACCCTGTTAAAATATATAAATTATATATGTTGTCAACCAGTGATATCCCCACGCCCCTGCTTGTACTGCTTGCCTGTTGCTACATCCTAACATTGAAGTAGTTACTTCATTCATTCAAAACACTTTGGGTGCTATCCTGTACCATGATGCTACTCCTCAAGTAAAGACAAAAAGGGGCTTACTATAACACCTATAATTAGACTCTTCTCGTGTCCAAGGTATTTACTCATGGACATCACACTACAAACTTAACAACAAATGTGGAGGGGTTCCCTTTGTATGCTGGTAATGTTTACTATAATGATGTACTCAATTATTTCCAAATAACAGTCCCAACTGCCTTGGTTTCAGAAAGTCCAATATTTGGAATAAAACACAGAGTTTTTAATCCTGCCTTCTCATCTTTATTACATACTCTAGAAACCATTCATATTGCTTCTGATGTGGCTTCTGGCCAAGACTTAAAAAGGACATAGGAAAATATTCCACTCAGAGGTGAGGGACATGATTATTAATAGATTCTGTCATACACACAGAGTCTCCACCACAAATGCTTAATTAAACCTTTATAATAATTAAAACCACCTCCACATTGGCACAGGATTTCCAGGTCAAAAGGTGTGACTAGTGTCAGATTATATGAAGAACTAACCAAACAACGAATGTTATGACACTTTATTTCTCACCTCTTGAAAGCTTATAATATTCTTCTTACTCTTTGATAGAAAGTGTGGTGGTTTCTTAAGGGAAATAATAACTTGTATATTTTATTAAAAAATTCTTTTATTGATCTATCTAAATTCTCTAGCCCCCAAAATTAATTTATTAATCAAAAGATTCATTCTAATTTACTACATTGCAATTTTTTACTATTTATTTAATTGTGGTAAAGTATAAAAACATACACTTCCCCATTTCAGCCATTTAAAGTATACAATGGAGTAGCAATAATTAAATGAACAATATTGTACAGTGATCATCACAATCTATTTCTAATTTTTTTACCACTTTAATCAGAAACTCTATTACCAATTAAGCAATTGCTCTCCATTCCCTATACCCCAGCCCCCAGTAACCTCTAACCTACTTTCTTTCTTTAAGAATTTGCCTATTCTGGTTATTTTGTACAAGTGGAATAAATAATACAGTATAAATCCCTTTGTGTCTGGCTTATTTCACTTAGCATAATGTTTCCAAGGTTCATCCATGTCATAGCATGTATCAGAATTTCATTCTTTTTTATGTAATGGTTTAATTTTACATTTCAATTTATTACCTTATATTCCATCATTCAGAAGGGAAATTTGGGGACAACACAAATTCACTTCATTCTGCCATCAAGTAATAGCTATACTTCAACTCCCCACACCTGTTAACTATCTCAAGTAACAAGATACCTAAGTTCTCAAAATAGCCAACAAAGTGAATTAGTACAATGTAACTTGCCCCAATTCCCAGCATACCAGAGAGAAAGCCAGTATCCAAGCCAAGAACTAAAGTTATTTTACTCTTCACCTATCCTGATTTCTTTCTGATTAAAGGCATTAACAGTCTCCTCTCCTTTGAGTCCTTTTTCTCTGCCTTCTAATTCCACTTGAAGATATCTTCCCAGGATCCTAGTCCTTCTCAGGTATTCATCCTCTATTAAACTTTATCCAAAAATGTCAGTATTTCCTATTGCCTCCATTTAGTAACTTTTAATTTTCAGGGTTTAAAAACTGGCCTGATGACCAAAGACAACTAATGTAAATCTGTGTTCTACCACTTTCTAGTAGTATGAACTAGAGCCAGTATTTAATCTTCTAAAGCTAAGTTTCCTCATCTGTAATGAAAATGATTAAATTGAGTAATATGTAGTATGCAGTCAGTACATTATCATTGTTGTTATTAGGATCCAACTCCCCAGTTAAGTTCTTTTTCAAATATCATCAGTGATTTCCCAATTGCCAAATGGGCTTCTGTGGTAGGTTATATAATTGTTCATAATTATCCACTTCCTTTGAGGGAGGATTAATACTCCCCACCCTGATGAACACAAGGAGTGGCATGTGACCTGCTTTAGCTAATTAAATAAAGAACAGAGTAACATGTGTTCACTTCCAAGGAGAAGCTTTAGGAGGTTTATTATAATTCACTATCTTGCTTGTCCCTCAGCCAATAAGACCCTGCAATATTCCAGTTTGGGATGCTTCATCAGTCTGATCCTAGAGTAAAGATGACCTGTGTGACATCTGCTGCCTAATTATCCTAGGGCAGTGGGATAGGTTGCCAAGAGACCAAGGAAAATGACAGAAACAAGAGAAGATACAGGGTTTATTGAAAAATACTTACAGGGGAGGTCCAATGGAAACATGCTGGAGAGGTGTCACCAGAAAGTCCAGTGGCAGTGAGCTGGACAGGTGTCCCACTGCTGCACACCAGAGACCTCACAGAAAGTGGCACCTCCTATTCTCCCCACACTTTGTCCAGGAGCAGCCACCTGGAAGAGCACCTCCATCTCCATGATGTTCTGATGGGCACCAGTTACCACAGGGAAGSGTTCTTACAAATTAGGTCACAGAAGCAGCATTAGCTTTGTCCCATCAGCTTTGTGCCATTGGATGACCAGCATTCCAAGGAGCAGCTGTCCTGGCATGCATTCAAGAAAGTAAATTTTTACAGATAATACTAACTTGCCCAGCATACCAGAGAGAGTCAGTACCCTTCTAGTTTTTTTTCAATAAACCCGGTATCTTATCTGGGCATCCCTGGTCTAGGCCTGCTCTCCTTGATTTGGCCAGGTTCCTGGGAACTACACAGACATTCCAGGGACAGTGTCTTTCCGTCCTTCTGGATGACCAACCCCAGTCTTCTCACTGACTCCAAGTGGTTAACTAAGACTTCAGCATATGCCAGAAACTGCTCTATTTTGGTTCTCATGCAATGCAACTTTATTTTACAGCAAATGTTTGATTCCAAAACTTTTTTGGGATTTGGGGATATATACTATGCATATCCACGCTGAGTATATTCCTTGAAATTTCCTTTGTCTACTATAATATTGTAAGCAAATGTGAATCCCTCTGAGTGGACCCAAGAGCACAGCGGCTGCCAGCCAAGCTTGGAGACGCTAAGGAAGCAGAGGTTGG